TCAACACGCTTGAATATTTGCAATACACTCAGCCCAGCTATGAGCGATACTAAGCCAGCAATCCCTAATGCCTATCATAACCGCACAAAATTAAAACTGGAGCTGCTAAAGTTCAGAAGACTCCGAATTTCTTTATCCACTAAACATAAACACATTTGTTTGGTGTGGAAATTTTCACCACCCTTTTAATCACTCAAAAAAGAAAGCTACGACTAAAAAGGTCACAATCAGAGACACGAGAATCGAAAGCCAAAAAAAAAAACAACAACCTATTCAGGCCATAACTGCTGCGACAATTACAAGTTGAAGACTGAAGTAAATATAACAAAATGAAAAAAGTATAACAAAATAACTAAAATGGAAAAAAAAAACAAACCTGCAACGGGACAACGTTGTATGTTCGAACGGAGAGCTGCCTTCGTCTTGCATCCGCATTCTGATGCAACAACGCATTCACGATTCGATTGATCTCCATCAAACGTCCATCTTTACGCAGTTCATCTTTCGCTTTACACATCAACGAATACCTCTTGCCGTCCGATGCCACCAAAGTGATCTTCTTCGGTCTTACCATCGACTTCATCACCTAAATTCATTCACAACCTCTCAATATGCACATCCAATTCAGCACTCATTTACTTCCTCCTTTTGTTTTCTATTTTATAAAAAATTCAGTAATCAGCAGCATTCAGCAGTAATCATACTGCATTGCAAAAAAAGTATGCCCTTTCGATCAATTTCATTACCACGAGTATGATTGGAAATTTCAACAAAATTCTCCTACATTTATGGAAACTAACAAAACAATAACTGATATTTTCACAATATTCTCTTCACATTTTACTTATTCAAATATACACTTCACACCCCATTTCTGAAACGAATCGCCTACAGTTTCATTCCACAAAAAATAAGCATAAACCCAACATCAATACAATGAATTACTCACAATAAATTCCTCATCGATACTATGGATGTATATATTTGTGAATGACGAAGACGATGATGCTGAATCGTCCGAATGACTTCCGAATTTGTGGACGGATGCCGAAGGGTCACCAACCGGATATTGCGATAATGAATTCGGAATGATCACCGGTAGAGCATGCTCGATCATATCACGCAATGGAACCACCACTAATGGTCGTGAACATACCGTTCTCTCATCATTTGATGACGATACTAAATCACATTTATTACATCTCAAACTCACTTATTTCAAAGGCATCAGGTTGAAGTTCTTACTGCGTAATACTCCAACTCAATAACTACATTCGATTCAGATTCATAATTGATCACAAACTCAATCTGTTTCGTTCAATTACATATCAACTTTTCTACTGAATGGTGATTACCAGTATATAACATAGTCAATCATAAGACATCTTTCACAGGTGAATCTCCCAATCCTAAATTCCCTATATATCAGCTGAAATCTTATCAACATTTATTAAAATCCTCATTTTCATCCTCTTATTATCAGCTATTCCCTATAAACTTTTTAAAACATTTCTGAACTCACTAAAAACTAACTTTTAACTGATGCATCCATTAAACCCGTTTTGAAGAAATTCGCAATATACGGGTATTTCTGGCTGAACGTTGAATGCACACCAGCCGGATAAGCATCCTCGGCCACCTTCACAAACGCTGCGGCTGCGTATTCATATTGCGCAATCAACGTCTTCAATTGGCCCGAACGATCCTTTCTCTTCGCGATCTCATAGACGTTTCGACATCTCGTGAATCTCAGCTGTTGCTTGGTCGGATCTGAACGATAGACTGCAATCGACTGCCACAGACACTGATGTGGATACTCCACCAATAACTCTGCCAGAATATTCTGCAATCAAGATCACATTCACGATGATAACAATAATATCATGAAATCAACATAATATTATTTGAATAACTAGCGATAAAATTATTTTCAAAAAATAATACTATTGCTAACGATCGCTCGTAATCACAAAAATCCTACATCACAAAGCCATCAAACATTCAACCACCAACTCCACCCTCGCACTAAAAATCGCTCCCAATCCATAATTTCAACCACAATCCGCAATGTAAGCACAGTGAATTCACAAGCAGAGATATCCACATACACGATATCTACATAACAATAAGAATAACAACAACAATGACAGTAACATAATTAATAATAACAAAACCTTAAGTGAAT